GGATGGATGGATGGATGGATGGATGGATGGATGGATGGATGGATAGACAGACAGACAGATGTTGATGGAGATAGATAGATTGATTGATTGATTGATTGACAGCAGCTAGAATTGTCCCATGTGAACACTAGAGGATCCCTCACCACCACTTCAACCTAGGAGTAGTGTGAATCCCTACAGCCTAAATAGCATTACTATATGTTGGCGATCTGTAATCTGTACTTAGTGTCTTTCTAACATGAGATAACAATGAGCACCACAAACCTTTCCTCCTGTTTTTTTTTTTAGAGAACTCCCTTCCTTCCTTCTCCCAAAGGGAGAAAAAATGATTTTGGGAGTCACTGAACCTACTTCCCTGAATTTGGGTGCTCTCCCTGGGTTCTGATAGCCATAGCTAAGTCATGGGCTGGTACCGTGCTTCTATGCCTCATTTGCCTTAAACTGACATCTTTATAAACACAAGAAACTCTGAATTTCTAATGTATAATTGTTAGCAGCTGACATTAAAACATACAATACAACATTGTTGGATAGAGTGGATCCTAGGGAGAAATTACCCAGCAACTGCTAGGGTGATTGTGGCAAACAAGACAGGGCATTGATTTGATTTTATATTCAATGAATGAGGGAACTGGCAAAAAGCTTTTAGTGTCTTTGCTGCAAGTTGCTGATTTAGGAAGGAAATGTCCACCACACCCACAGCTCAATATTCCATTGCCTCGGGTGCTTTTTTCATGTCTTTTTCTGAAGCTCAGAGGACTGGAAGTCTTGGCCACGGCTCTGCATCCTCTGAACTGAGAGAGTGGCATTCAATAAGAACAAGCAGCGTGCATGAGTTTAAATGCATGAAATTTCCATGGTTGTTTCCCTTTTGGTGGAAAAGGCTTTGCTGAAGACCTTTGTCTTTGCAATTCTAGATATCTGAAAAAGCAGTGGAATTCCACATGTTTGCTAGAGTTCTTATGGCATAGAAAAGACACGGTACTTTGGCCTATACACCTAAAGCACCTTTAACTCTGTTATAATCAGTAGAAGGGAATCATAATAAACTGAAAATCTTTAGACTATAAGATCCCTACTCCTACTCAGTGGTGGGCTGCTATCAGTTCGTCCGGGTTCGGGAGAACCTGTAGCTAATGTTATGGCTAGTTCGGAGAACTCCAAATCCTCTCCCCCGCAGCTGGCCACACCCACCCACCCCTCCCCTCCCAGGAGTCTCCATGCGGCCCATTTTGGATGCAAGGTAAGTTCAGGACTCACACGGAGGCTCGGGGAGTGGAAAAATGGGCCTCCCAGAAGGCTTCCGGAGCCCGGAAGAGGCAGTTTTCGCCCTCCCAGAGGCTCGAGGCAAGCCTCCGGAGCCTGGGGAAGGTGAAAACACACACACACACACACTGGCCATGGTGCAGGAGGCTGACTACACCACGCCCACCATGGCCATGCCCACCCAGAAACTGGGCAGAGAATCCATTGCT